TCAGGGTCGTCTGATCTGCAACAACTTTGAAAAAAAAAAGATAACAAAACAAAACAGGAGTGCACAAAATTCTGGATATCTAATCCCAGACTTTTGTGTTTATTGCTTCATGGAAGTCTTTACATCTGCTGAACTCCAGCTTGGCAGATCCCAGGGTGGTAAACTTGCCTGGGCCCTGCTACCGCTCAGCACCTTGACCTGTGGCCAAGGGCAGAACGGACAGAGGCCCTCTCCATGCCCTCGCTTCTGAGGAATACAGCATGCTGAAGGCCTGGTGTGTGATGAAGCAAGAGACACCGTTCTGAAGCCCAGTCCAGGTTTCACTGTAACAAACACCTATGGGCTCATCATTCCACCTTCTGGCCTTGGGCTGCCTGTAACTCCCCGGCTGAGTTAACCGTGGGGCTGTCACAGACAGGCTGATCTCGGCTTCGGGAGAAGCCTTTTTGTTGTTCACCGGGAGGTTTAGGGAGCGTAAGTGTAATGGTAGAGAGAAGTAGAGGGGTGATAAGCAACACCTGCTGAGGCAGCTGTGGTGGGATGAAAGAACACTGGACACGGAGTCAGAAGGCCCAAGTTCAAGTCCTAATGGTACCCTTACTGGCCGGCTTTCCTCCCTGCACCTTCATTTCCCTGTCTGTACAACGAGTCATTTCAGTTAGATCAGCTCCGAGGTTTCTTCACATGGGGAGTCCGATTCTGTCCTGAGCTAGATGCCTTGGACCTGCTTTGTCTCCATCTCCCACAGCAGCAGCTGCTGTTATCAGCACATTAGTACTAAAAGGCATTTGGCCAGTTGACGGGAAGCTCTGCCCAGCCCACCTGTGTCCCCCAGGGCACTGAAGCTCCTGACACTCAGCAGTCTCTGTGGCTGGCTTGAGACTTCTTGTTTTGAATTGGGGACAGCCTACAGGGGATTCCTAAGCTACCTGGTGAAATTCACATAAGGACTTTTGCTTCGGCAAAAAACGGAGCCCTGTGGGGGTGGACTTAATCCTGGCCATTGGCTTGCACTGGATGGAGGTTGCTGGACTTGGTTGGAGGACACCCCACCCCAATGTGACAGAAGTGAGGAGTGGGCTCTAGGGTGACATCCGGGAGACCCGCTATCCTCCCACTGAGAAGTGAGTCTTGGCCTTAGTCCTAGACCATGGAGGGACCAAGGTGTTTTGCCTCTGCAGAGCGACAATGAAACAGCCTCATAAATAGCAAGAAAACCTTGCTTTCCCCCTCATGCTGGAGAGGTTCTAGGACAGCCTGGCTTAACCAGGGGCTCCTGAGGGGAGGGAGGCAGGAAATGTGAGGCCTGTTTGTCTCTCCTTCAGATCTCTTCTCTACACTCCATCCACAGGAATCACTAAAATAAGACCCAACCCCGAGAATCTCTCCCCTCCCAAAGTCCCCCTCCCCCCCTCTCCTTTCCCAAAGTGCCCCCTTCCCCCAGGCCTTAGGAGTTCATCTCCTGTGAACCAAATATGGACTCATAGCAAGATGATGTCACGATCCAGACTGTTCCCTGCTGGAAGTGCTGCTCTGCAATAAGATATGGCTCTGCTGCGTGCGTGCGTGTGTATGCACAGGTGTGTGGTGGGTGGGGAGGTTGTCCAGAAACTCTACAAATACCCATGGATGTTTCTATTCCCTTCTCAATGCTGACTGTGTTCAGGGGAATCAGGGACACGCTCCCTTATTCTCTTTGTGAGGTGAGCCGAGTCACCGGCTGACTCTAGGCCCAGTGATCATTCTAGACTTTGTTGGGAGGGGGTGGTCCCTCGTAGCCTGACCTCTGGGGGCAGAGGAAATAGTCAAGGGCAGGAGCCTGCCTGGCTTTCCCTCTAATGTCCACAAGCAGAGACCCATGTGTCCTGTTTACCATATCCTAGGCAGGGTGGGGAGCAGCCAGTGCCGACCCGTACATCTAATTTACCTCTGTACAGGAGTACTCAAAAAGGGGATAAATGGGGGAGACAGACACCCTAAAGAAGCACAGCACTGGCTGTGAACCCTACTCATCTAGACTGCCATGTTCTGCCTAGATCTGCTGGGCCCAATGGAGCAAGTTCTCCCTTAGAAGCCTCTAAGCAAACAAGGGCACCATGCTTCCAACTTAATGGTCACCGTGTCCCTGTAACTCATATACTCATTTCCAGTAATATCAGCCCTGTGCGAGCAGGGGCCACATCTGACCTCTCTCATTAACATGGTATTCAGGGCTCAAGCCTTGGCCCAGACTCAGAGAACATTTGATAAACACCCGGAATCGCTGCAAGATGAGCCACACCCTTTGCCTGTCCTTACCAGATAGGTGAAATACTAGTAGGGCGAGGCATTGCTTTGGGATGGCTGCTTGAGATCCAGGTGCAGGGAGGGGCAATACTGCTCTCCTGCTGAGTTGGGGTACACTCTGGCAGGCTGTGTGGAAAGTGGCCTCTCCCTGGAAGAAGTTGCCTCCACGTTGCAACCTCACACTGCTGTGCCTGTCTGGGGGCACCTGCCATCTCTACTTGGGAGAAGCTGGTTCTCCAGCCCAGATGTGTTCCTGCGGGGAGAGCTGTGATCAGCGGCGACTGGGGCAGTTATCAGTACCCACAAAACAACGGCTGGAGAGAAGGGTTCCTAACCTTCTCTGAATACAGAGAAGGATGGTACTAAGCCTGACAGAACAGAGACAGCCTAAGGATTTACTTCTCCCCCCAGACCCTGAAGACTAAAGCAGCCCTCTCCAGGCTGTCTGTGGCAGGGAGATAGCTACAGTGACATCTAAGAGTCCCTTCCTCTAAAAGCCTGTTGTCGATGCAATGAGCTCACTAGTTGGTGGTTCCGTGTGAATGAGGCCTGAGAAACTGACCACTCTGCTCAGATCCCAAGTGTTTTCTGGAAAGGGTGACCCTTCACTTCAGCTAACAGGCACATTTCCTCAACCTTCCCTCCGGGAACAGTGACCTATACTGTAGCCATGCCCAGCTGCATTCAGGAAGTGCTAAACTAGAGCCAGGGAAGGGGACCCTGAGCACATCCCTATCCCTGGCCTTCTGCTGTTTACCCTGTCCCCTTTCACCATGAGAGCCATTCCTCGGGCCTCCAGGCAGCAGTGCTGGCCATGGTTTGGGCCAAAGGACCATGACACACTCTCAGGTTCAAACATTATTGGCTCATCTCTGGGATATGGTTTCTTACCTGCAGAGAGTGTGTGCCTATGGGCTTGACCTTCAACCGGATGCTTATCGAGTGACGCAAGCATTGTTAATACCTCTGTGGCTTAAACATATGGCAAATAATGCTTTTGGAAAGTCTCTGAAGGGCACAGCCCTGGCCCTGCCTAGGCCCCTGACTAGTAGCTCAAGTTGGAGGCCATGCCAATGGCAGGTGATCCATTCGCAGTGGTCGACCTTGCCTTCCCACAACTGCCTCAGGCTGCAGACACAGCTACAGGGCGACACTCTGGCTCAAGATCTCTCATCTCTGTGTCACTGAGGCAAGGTACCTTTGGTTTCAAAAGTGAATTAGGTGGGGGATGAAGGCAGCACCTTCAAGCTGAGAACTGCAGGCCTGCAAGTGTCTCCGTTAGGGCAGTCCGGGGGTAAGGGGCATGTGCGGAGTGGCTGCTTCTGGTCCCAAGGGGACACTTGCATAGGCTGCCCTGGTCCCGAGACATACATCACTGGAGGCATCAAGGCTTGCAGAGTAGGGCTAGGGATCTGGGAACTGCAGGGTTACATGAGAGCTGCATAAGGCATACGAAGAGCTTTGCGTCCTTCCAGGCAGGGGCATCACAGCACTGTCAATACGGTGTACCTCATGGTCCCCTGATATGTATGTGTACCCTAATGAAAGGACAGATAGGCTCAGTCTGGGGGCAGCAGATCCCCATTCATATACCATGTCAAACACAAGTCAATGTCAGACACAATTGAGCAAGGAGAAGATGGGAGGGGCAGCAGCATCATTACCCCCAGATACACCAGCCATACTCTTGTATCACAGGGATCCAACTCTCAGAGGGTAGCAGCGTAGACCCTGACTGGGTGGGCAGCTGTGGCCCTCTCTCCTCCACTCTGGGTTTCACTGCCAGAGACAAAAGAGGTCCAAACCCAGCCCCTCCCCTGCTTTTTTTTTCTCCAGAGGGTTGCTCTGTTACCCAGGAACCACACTGCTGCATGGGGCTCAGTTGCCACAGTCCTATTCTTCATTCTTCTGTGCAGCTCACTCTCAGACTCTCTGGCAGCAGGGGCAGAGTTAGAACGAGGAGCAAGAGGTAAACCCCACTCCCAACCAAACCAGAGTGTGGCAAGGAGTCCCTCCCACCCTCTCCCTGCCAAAAAAAAAAAAAAAAAAAAAAAAACACTGTCATTTTCCAGAAAGGAGCCAAGCCCAGCTCAGCATGGACAAGGCCGAGGCAGATGGGTGGGGAGCGGGGGTGGGGGAGGCATATGGCGAAAGGCATCCTTCGGAAACACACTGGCCTGGTGGCAGCTTAAATACTACAGCTTTTCCGCACGTCGTGTTATGGATCAATCCTTTTCGCCCATCTTTTCGTTCCCTGGGGGAGAGCCCACTTATTCTTTTTCCAGGGGCATTTTTTTCAAAAGTAAAAGAAAATGGAGACAATGGGTTGGAAGGAGAAGATGCACAAAGCAAAAATAAAATAAAAAAAAGACGGAGAAGATTGTAAGCAATGGAAATGGATGAATGTGTGCCGAGATCAAGGGTGGCCATTGTGGTGGAATGCTCAGGGTGGCCACGACATGGGGCAAGAAATTAGGGCTCCCTCCAATGAGCATAGCTCTAGCTTTCCCATCTAGTGACACCCAAGGGAGTTGGGGCATCGCTGGGAGGGGGTTGTGGATAGCTGGGTTGCCACTGGTCCTCACAGCTTGGCAGACACCCATGTTGTACCCTTGTCCCTGAAGGTGGTTGTGGCTTTGTGGTAGGTCTGCAGTTGCTTTATCTCCCCTTCTCCCCTCCTACTTGCAAAGCAGTGCCGTGCCTGGGGTGCTCCATCAGGCCAGAGAATAGATGGCATTGACAGGTGATGTGGCCTCTGAGCTCTCATTGCCCTCTGTCTCCTCCTTGTCCTTTTTGACTGTGTACTGGCCGATAAAGGAGCCATCTTCATTGAACTGGCCCTCGCCACCTTCACCGTAGTCCACCAGGCTGTCATCACTCTCCTGCTGCTTAATGGTGCCGTCCAGAGATGTCTGGCTGCCCTGCAGGGGCTTGTTGTCCTCATCACTGGCCAGAGAGAGACAGAGAGTCAGGCCCAAACTGGCTAGCACAGTCTAAACTGGGCCTGGGGGCAGGGGCAGGCGTAGGGTAATTGGCTTCCTACCAAGCACACAGTGCAGGAGGGTGAGACTTGGAGATCATCCAGTGTTCACCCTCCCCTGGCCAGCAGACTCCACAAAAGGGAAACTGAGGCACAAAGAGGACTAGCATCTTCCCCAAGGCAGATGGCATACTGGAGAAGATTGGGGACTAGAGCAATGCTTTGCACCCAGCAAGTACAAGAGGTGGGGAGTGGGAGGGAGGGAGCATTCAGAGAAGCATGTGAGGCCTGATAGTTTGAGAAGACACTAGCACGGCTGTTAGCCCCTTCTAGCCCCTGTCCTTAAGGCCCTCCTGGTAGACAAGAGTTCCAGGCCTTGGAGATATACTGGCATTAGGCTGCTAGGATAGATGCCCAGCCCATACATATATCAGCTACACTCTCTAGCACAGTCTTTCTCAACTAGGGTCATGACCCATGGGTCATGACTATCAGAAAACACATATTTCCGATGGTCTTAGTAACTCCCAACCATACATTTGTTTTTGTTGCTACTTCCTAACTGTAATTTTGCTACCGACTGATGTCTCAGTTCCTAAGACCATTGGTACTATGTGTTTGCACAGGTTGAGAACTGCTACTTCTCCAAGCTGGTGTGGCGCCCTTCCTCCTGCCTGAAAAATTGCTTGAGAGAGAGACCAATGCTGGTTACATTTCACAGGTGACACAGGCTCCCCGGCAGGAAGCAGCTGTGGGCCAGCTGTGGAAGTCTAGAGGCCTGCAGGAGGAAGCACAGTGGTGCCAGATAGTCTGAGCAGATACACCACACCCTCCATACTCCTAGTCTTCAGTCTTTCCCTGGCTAAACTGCCACTTTAACAGTCAGTGTGTTCTAACAGCAGCCTTGGGTAGACGGCTACCAGGAAGGGGCCTTAGATGGAGCTGGAGCGGAGCATGAACAGATGGGGCCAGCCTGCCAGGCAGTTGGCTAACCAGGCACTCTTCCATTCAAGCCTCCTAATGAACGTCCCATTCTTCCAGACCAAGACCCCTTTCCCCTCAAGAGCCCCACATGCTGAAGTCTGACTGCTGAAGTCTGGACAGTCTCTGTCCAGGGGCACATTTAGCTGAAGTCCCTGAACCCTGTACAGGAGTCCCCCTAGACCACCTAATGCAATGCTAATGCCCTGTAGTAGCATGTGGGGGGAACATGCACCCCCTTTACTTGCTAACCCCAAAGCATTAGCATTGCTTTGCCCAGAGGAGCAATGCCAAGGTGGAAAGGCAGAGGTGGTTTCCTTGACTTCTTGTCAAGAGCACAGGCCATGTGTGCTCCAACACCTCTTGATGGAAAGGTTATAGCCAGGTCACAAAGCCACAGATCCATACCTGCCATATGCTGGGTGAATGTGACCTACTGACTTGAGCTATCTGTGTGCTCTGATGCAGGGCACCAGGAAGGACTGTAGCAGAGTGAGGCAAGTGGATCTTCAGGGCTAAGCTGAGTTTGGGCAGGAAGTGGAACTCATTACAGTCAGGTTCTTACTGCCAGGCTTCTCCCCACACATGCCACTACAGGGCACAGACGCTGCATTAGGTGGTCTAAAGGGGACTCCTGTACAGGGTCCAGGGACTTCAGCTAAATGCACCCTTGGGCAGAGACAGTCCTGCACAGTCAGACTTCAGTATGTGGGGCTCTTGAGGGGAAAGGGGCCTCAGTCTAGAAGAATGCGACTTTCCTAAGGAGACTTGAATGGAAGAGTTGGCCTGGTTGGCCCATTGCCTGCCTGTCTGCACTCCTGCCCCCAGACTTGCAAGGTCCAAGAGGACAGACATGGGGAAGAGGCAGATCTCATGAGAAGGGTATCCAGCAGCAAAGCCAAGAACAGAGTAGGAGAGCCCGCTCCTTGCTCCAAGGCACATTCCCTTAGAAACTTAGTTCTTCCGACTTCCTAAATTTAGCCTTTCCCCAGTAGGATTCTTGAACTCATTTGATGCAGGTTCTAAGAGCAGAGCCCGCAAAGCCAATGCTGGCTAGAGGGAGGAATGCTGGCAAAGGTGGGGACAGCTTGTCCTGTGTTTATCCCCACTCTGTTGGGCTACACTGAGGGCATAGAGGAAAAAAAACTCCACGGCCTTGTAACTGAGGGCCAGAGGTAGCTCTCAGCCCACAGGGAGGCTAGACCCTGCCAGGTGATCCCAGGACAGCCAGGGAGAGAGGAGGAGGCTGTCACAGTGATGTCAGGCTGGATGGACAGCTGCGGCCATAAGCTTCCAGATGGCTTCTGGGCAGGCAGCAGCTCCCTGCCCATTGACCTGGTGCTGTTTGCCAGGCTCCTGAAGAGCAGGTAGTAGAGGCTTAGAAAGAGGGAGAGGTCAGAGGATGACGGGGTGACCTGTGCAGAGTTAGCAGGGTTGGGGTGGGGAAGGAGAGCTGTTTTTTGATATTTTTCTCCCATCCTAAATGGTCCTGGATGAGATTCCATGACCTACCCTGATCCATTCCTGAGTGCAGAATATACTGACCATCCAGATGGGCCAGTGACAACTTGGCAAAATCTTGACTTAAAGGTCTGTTCAGATCTGAGAGGGAGCATGGACACAGGACAGAAGCTCCACCTGGCAGTTCAGCCCCAGCTGCTTCAGCTCTGCCACCAGCTCACAGAGCAGTGAAGCTTCTCAGGCCATTCATTCTCTTGGGGTTTAGGAGTGGGATGCCGGCTGGGAGGAGGCCTGTTGGTCAAGCTCACTTCACAGAAAAGGGGCCCAGGGCTCATTTTGAGGGTAAAAGTGGAAAGAAACAAACAGGAAGTCCCATCCAGTAGAGGGTACCAGGGCTTCTCAGACTATTGGTGTACATATACCCCGCCAAATGGCTGCCACAAAGGTAAAAGCAGCAAGCAGTCTCGTGGACTGGAGGGATGTGGACACAGTGGCCCTGTGGCTGCTCTGGGCAGCAAGGCCAGCTGCCAGGGGAGGAAGGAGATCAGTCACCTGTAGTCAAATGAGCCATCTTCTTCTTTGGGGTCTTCAGGGCCCAGGGGGACATCCTTCTTTTCTCGTACTGGCCAGTAAGAGAAGGCAAGACAGACAGAGAGAATGATTAAGAATGATGTATCTGTTCTCCAGGGTACTTCTGAACACATAGACAAAAGACATCACCTTGGAGAGTAGAGGGATGGCTCAGTGACTAGGGGTACTTTCTGTGCAAGCAAGAGAACCCAAGTTCAAGTCCCATAGCACCCGTGTAAAAAGCCAGGTGTTGCTGTATGTGCCTGTAACTCTGGAGCTGTGGGGGTGGACACAGGATTGCTGGGACTAGCCTCACTCCAGGCTCAGTGAGAAACCCTGTCTTACAGGAATAAGGCAGAGGATGATAGAGTGGGGCAGTCAATATCCTCTTTGTATCTGTGTACAAGTGCACACACCCACATCCACCACACCCTAGACACCATCTTGGGCTCAGTGACAGTCAATGACAAGCTTCCTTTTAACAAAACACTATTAATGTCCCCAGGCTCAATCAGTTGCTAAGCTGATTCTTCCTTTTTCACACCCCAAGGGGTCTTTACACCCCAGATGACAAACCTCTCAGCTCTCTGCCATTTCTCCATCAAGTTGTCTCGATATACCAGAGATGGAATCCTTTTTTTTCTGCCAAAGGCAAACACTCCCTTGTTTAGTTCTTTCTCGGTTAGTTCTGAATAATAATAATCTTATATATTTCCTCACTGGTGACAGAAGTTAGCTTTCTCCTTTAAGGCAGGGATTGTGTTTCTCCAAAGCTCAGAGCATAGTACTTAGAGGGAGGATGTGGGATGAAGGTGTTTTCCCCTGATCCTCTCTTGTTGGCTTCCTCTCCCTATGTGGCCTCTGGGATGATGGATAACCAAGGCTTGTCCTGCTATGCTGTGGTTGGTCCCTCGGAGCTAGTTGTAATGTTGAAGTCAGTTATCTTGCCCTTATATTCTTAGCATTTAGCACAGAGCCTGGCTGGCATATAGCAGGTGCTTACATGAGGGACTTTTTGATGCCTTAATGGAATAACCAACCCATTTGAGAGGTGAGAATAGGCCACAGAATTAGTAGTTGTGGAAAGAACGGAAGACTAGAGTTCATGCCCTGGTTCCTGGGTTGCTTCACTTCTTACTGTATGAGGAGCTTACCCCAAAGTTGGAGAGAAGGGGACTGACTGGCTTGAGAGAACTTTCTGGGCTGGGACACTTTCTGGAAGGTCAAAGGTAGGCTCTAGGTGTACATGGTGAGGTCCTCAGGGGTTTAGGGTCCCCCAACTTAGTAAGTCTCCCTGACTCAGTAAGTCTCCCTGATTCATAAGTCTCCCCATGCTTGGACCTCTATCCAGCTCTGTTTTTTTCTCTTGCAGAGAGAAGAAATAAAACAGTGTAAATGTAGTGGAACAAAGTGAAAGAACTCACTGCTCACCAACAAGGAATTAAATTCCTACCCTCCCTCACCTAAGCAGGAGCATAGCTTCAGGACATAGGGCTGTGGGTACCAGCCAGGGAACGAAAGAGACACCATCTTTCCTCCTCTTACCTGCTTCATTTGAGGTTGCCTGTCCCCGCTCCAGGAGCAAGGAGCATCTAGGGAATGTGTCTGGGCTGGAGCTCTAAGGCAGAAGCAGGTTCATCCTTCACTTCAATAGGGTGGCTACTCTCAGGTTACCTGTCATCTGGCCGCCTGTCACCTGACTCACCCTGTCACAGCCAGACGACTCTTGCCCATTTGAAAAAAAAAAAATTACTATTTTCTGAAACAAGAATGGAGAGGTCCTTGTCCTTGACACTGAAGGCCCTTGAGGTACAGAAGAGACACGTTTCTGTGGGACTTGAAGGAAGGGCCAGGGTGTCATTAGCACAGCCTGTCCCCAGAGCTGCTAGGTCTGTGGTGACAGGCATTGAGACAACCCTCAGAAGGGCGTGACCCACCATGTGGGTTCTCTCTGGATTATGCTGCTTCTGCCTAGGCCCTTACTCTCCATTTCTAGCATGGCCTTTTCACTTACCCACCTCTGCCCCGACCCAGCGCTTTAATGACTCTTAGGCCAACGAAAGCCACTTTGTCCCAGGCCAAAGAAAGCCACTTTGCCCAGCTAATAGGAGGAGAGTCAAGGGAAGGCAGGCCCTCTCAGTAGGAGCCAGGGTTCCTTCCATGCCTCTCTGGAGCAGCCTAGACTGCAACTTCCATTCACCCGGGGCAGATAAAATGAATTTAGTTGTTTGCTGGTAGCTTGTAAGAAATAGGCCAAATATGCCACAGGCCTGGTTCTAAGATTAAAAGAGCAGAGATCGGAGCCCTGGATCCCCGGGGGGCCTGGTGGTTCATGGGAGACCCTGACCACACCCCCCCACCTCTCACCTGGGTACTTGCCACCTCGACTCCTCTTGATAAAGCAGACAATGAGCAGGATCAGCACCAGAAGGGCGATGGCACACATGAGCCCGATGAACCAGCCCTGGGTGGCGATGTCTGCCTGGTTATTGGTGTAAGCTGGCAGGGAGGGTGGGAAGCAAACCATGAGCCATTGCCTGGGGAGTGGGTGAGGAGGAAGGTGGGGGAGGCACACAGCTATTGGGCAGATTTGTCCTAGAGCCTATTGCTCCCACCTAGCAGCCCTCTGGCCCAAGCTACTCTGCTCAAGGATGAAAGAAAATGGTCAAGGAACCAAGGGCCAAAAGATCAGAAAAGAGGCAAAGGAAAGGGGTGCAGGGAGCAGAGAAGCAGAAGGCTGAGCAGGCCCTGTAGGATGGAGACGTTTACTAAAGAGAAGGCATGGCATTGCTGTAGACTGCATGCACTGGCCACAGCCTGGTGGGAATGAGTGATGCCGCGTGGCAGCACGGTTCTAATGAATGGGCCTGCATGGTACCTGTCAGGAGGCTGAGCATGGCCACACTGCTAGCTCTGCTGGAAGACACCTTGCAGGCACAGCCTCTTTGTCCACCAGGCTTTGGCAGTGGCTCCTGGGCCAGATGGAGGTTCGGGTGGCCCTGTGCCTTTTCAAGTCTCCCCAGCTGGACTGTGCTTTCTGACAGCAGGCAGATAATTCAGGCCCAGGTGCCCAGGTCAGGCAGGCAGTGATGCCGGGTCTGCGCTTTCAAGTCACCTCACGGAGAATGCTCCTGGTGGGCTGTGACAAGCCAACTTGCCTTCCTTTCTGTGGAGACCATCTCACAGATCCCTTTGTGGTCTGAAGGGAATACAGGTGTGTCTAAAGGCAGGAGCCTATGAATCCTTTGATGGTGTCCATGCTGTCCAGGGGCTGGGGATTTGGGTTTGTGGGACAGTGTGCTAAGTACGCACTCTCCCTTCTTCCTGTGGACTAGAGGACAAAGGGGATAGTTCCTGAAACACAACCTTTCGTGGGAGTGAGATTGAAGAAGGGAAGGATACATGGAATGCAACATACCCAAGGAAGCCCAGAGCAGGCTTGGGAGAGTTAGGAAGCCGGTGGGGTGAGTCACAGCACCAAACCTTCTCCTAAGAGACATTGGACCTGTGACACCCTGTCCCCTAGCTTCTGGGTACATTTTACCCTTTGCCAATAAGAGGGTGGCAAAACTTTCATAGTTGTCTCAGGGCCAAGCCGAATACACCATGCCAGGAAGGTTCTCTCTATAAACACTAAGGAGCGGCGCCCCAATCCTAGCTGACTTTCTGCAAAGAAGCCTAGTCCACAAGACATATGACTGTCGATCTCTGTATGCTGGGGAGAAAAGCCTGCCCTGTTTCGTTTCGTGCTCCTGTCTGGTGTTCCCCACACAGCAACCCGAGATCCCACAAGGTACTAAAATACTCCTTTGCTTCAATCCTCTAAAACTCCTAAATGCTGTGAGAGGATAACCCACATTCCTCATCCAGTCAGGCTCTGAAAGGGAGCTGGCCCTATCACCTGTAGTTCTACGTCCCTCTCCATACTCCAACCCTTCAGCCACTGGCATCCCTGCCTCTGGACCTTTGCAGCAGCTGCTCTTTCTACTGAGGAAGACCAGTGAGTCTTGCAATGACTTCACTGCTTAGCTCTTGTCCTAGAACTGGAGGAAGACCCATTCCATCATAACTTTACCTCATCATTTTGCTGGACTTTGCTGCTCAGGATTCAGTAACCCTGTTATTTCTCTTTCATTTCTCTCTAGAGTTCCCCGGATCCTTCCCTGGACCAGGAGAGCCTGAACCTGCACAGCCTCTGCAGCTGTCCCCTCCTTATGTGCCAAAGTTTTTTTTCTTCCTCCAAAGTTTAATTGGAATGCAACACTTTGGTCCTTCATTCCTGTAAGGACCCCTGGACTGCCAGCATGTTCCATTTCTTCCTCTTTGCTCTCTTCTTTCTGTGTCTTAAAACACAAACCTAGAGGAACCTGTCAGACCTTCTGAGATGGCCCATGCTTTGTTCTGATCAGGTCGACCCATTATCTCTCATGGCCTCCAGGTCCTGGCAAGTCTGCTCCTCATTCACAGGAAGCTGACTTCAAGGTGCTGTAACCATCATGTCTCAGTTACCCTTTCGAGTGAGCAGACCTCTCCCACCCCTACTCTCCCCACCCTGACTCTGACCCCAGGCAAGTCTTGACTTTGACTTGGCAATCCTTTTAATCATCTCTTGTACCCACAGCCAATGCCACAGCTCTGAGTCCAACACTCTTCCCTAACCTCTTGGCTTGAATTTCCATACATGTTCCACATCTAAGGATTATTGTCAATCCCCCCCCCCCAAACAACTCTGATACATGATGTGCAGCACCAATGCATCTTGGCACCTATGGGTGCAGTGAGGCTAACGTTACCACTCCCATATGTTATTTAGATAATGCCTCTCTTATTTCCTGCCACAAGGAATTCAAGCCTGTCTGGCTTTCTTCCTGCCTTGTTCCCACCCTACCTAAGACTCTAGATTGCCGTCCTGTTATCTGACTACATTTTCACATTCCTCCCTCCAGAGCCTCTCTGGTCACTCCAACTTACAGCTTCTCTGGACTATGCTCTCACCTTCTCCCCTTTCTATGCCAATTAACATGTAATTGTTCTGTTTCCTGGATCCTGGTTTCCTATTGTGCTGCTCTAGTTTTGAGAACAAGGTGACCCTCCCAGTACTCAGCATAATGCAATCACATAATAAGTGAGCAGTGATTATTTACAGATGAACACACCCACTTAATGCTAATGTAAGAAAGATAACCTGGGACCCCACTCTTGGTTTTCCCCATACCAGCCAGTGGCCACATGGATCCTCCTGTCTACGTACCATGCCTAGGCAGTAGGTGAGGGGATTACTTCACTTGTGTTTGGACAGTGGCACCCACATTTTGCAGAGAGGTTGGTTTGCATCTCTGCAACGACCCGTTTGCACCCCCATCTTCCTTGTGTTTGTTCTGATACTCTGGCAGCCATCTCCACGACATGCCCTTTCTCTTCAGAAAGAAGGTCATGATGCCTGGGGAAAGTGGTTACAGGGGCAGTTTAGAAGGCAAAGACAGCGTTCCACTCCTGACAGTACCAGGAGAAGTTGAAATGCAGCTTCAGATGATTGGAAAAAATATAAAAAAATAAAAATTCTTTCGAACTTCAGACACAAAACCAAGTGGGGCCAACTGACTACACCTTGCTATAAAGTAAGTTGGTTTCTCAAGAACAGAACATAATAGAACAATCTCAGCTTGGACTGAGAGGAAGCCATTTGAGTGAAGCTCCGGAGTTGCTACACTTGACCACCAATGCCACACTCCATTGATCTACTAAACTGTCACTGAGATGCTAATGCTATCAACCTCCAGAGACAGCATTTATACTCCCCACCTCCAACCGGAAATGACAGGAGCCGTTCTTCTTCCACCACAGGCCTGGCAAGCACAAGACCAAATGCCTCTTGCCCTGGACTAGAAGAAGTGTTCACATTCAACCCTTCTAAGCCACACCTGAAGCAAAGCTAGCAGTCTTCCCAATTGTAGCCAGAGTGACCCCACCTTGCAGCAAGCTTCCACCTATCTATTCTATACACAAAATAAGCCAGCCTTTCCATGGTTGGGCAGCATTTTCTGAGACCAGGATGGAGTATGCAGAAACATCACTTTCTCAGACTGGTTTTGTTTGTGCCTTTTCTCAGACTGGTTTGTTTGTTGTCCGAGCCTGTAGTCATCTCTACTGCCTGAACCCTGGATAGTGCACTGAAACCACATTTGCATCAATCCAGCTGGAGACTCAGAGTCAGAGGCTTGGTACTAGGGGTAGTTGGCAACTTGGGGAAAATGCACCTGTCTATAGTTGTCTACCACTCTACAAATGATTGCTAATAAATTCATTTTATTCAAACATAACATGAATGAGTCATTCTATGGGCTTTGGTGCCAATTCCGATTTGGGGCAGATGTTAATTTAATGTCTTCCTGGAAAAGTTCATGCAACTTCCAACCTATTTTTATTTTTTAAATTTATTTATTTATTTATTTTGGTTTTTCGAGACAGGGTTTCCCTGTGGCTTTGGAGGCTGTCCTGGAACTAGCTCTTATAGACCAGGCTGGTCTCAAACTCACAGAGATCTGCCTGCCTCTGCCTCCCGAATGCTTGAGATTAAAGGCGTGCACCACCAATGCCCGGCTCCTCCAACCTATTTTTAAAAGATGGGAAATTCACTTCCTAACCAGAGAGTTCATTCAACTCCCATGTCTAGCTGGAGGAATCTGGCTTGGCCATACACAACAGGCTCATCACTGAAATTCATTCTAAAGATGGATGAACAAATAACATAACAGGGATGACTTTTCTTCATGCACAAATATGGCTGCCCTCCCTCAAGTCCTGAGTCACCTTTCTCCATATACCTTGTCTCATTCTGTAGTCTCTCTGGCCTCCATGAGGTCTTAGCTGCCTGCTGCCCGATTCTAATGCTTAGGTCATCCACGGCATCCCAGTAGGGAAGCATGGGTGGGCCCGTTAGACTCTATGGTCATGTATTTGTAGCCCCACAGGTTGCTGGTTTCAGAAGCTTTAATAAGCGATGATTAAGTTCCCAGTGGGATCTTTCTAGCAAGGGTTAGAAATCCTGTTAGCATTCCCAGAAGTCCTTTCTCCTTCCTTCCTGAACCACAGCAGCATGTCATCTGCAGACTAAAGTGATGGCCTGTGGTTGACTAACTGACCTGTGGTTGGGGCCCAGAGATATTCAGAAAAGCTCTACTTTGATGAAACACAGAGATCTGGGGGTTTGTGCGGCCTTGCCTCTGGAGTCCACCTACAGGAAACCGTTTTGACACATTTTTACAGGCACACACAGACTTCAGAGAGTGAAAGCATTTTCTTTTCCTCATGTGGTTTGTACACAGTAGTTTCTAGCCAGCCTAGGAGGAGGCGAACAACCTGAACTCAGAGACAGGGTACTGAGCTTGCCTGAGAAGGGGTCAGGGAAGACTTGTGGATGCTACATGTTTCCTGGGCTCTTAACTGCAGGCAAGCAGTCAGAGCCTCTTCAGATCCAGCAGAGAGAAAGAAAACTAGGTATCAATGACAACATTCAGAACCAAGTATCAGCCATTATTAACTCCCTATCCCCAATACTGCATGTTTAATACTTGAAACAGATTAGGCCAAACCCAAAGGGAGGGTCTGGTCCTTTCCTTTTCTCTCTGGCTCTCTTTCTGGCCCTTATCCACAGCACTTAGAGAGACAGCTCTCAAAATAGGCAGTGCTGGATTCCCCAGCATCTCTAGGATGGAGTTCTACCTTCAGGCATCATCTTTGCTTCTTGCCCATGAGCCTGGGATCTCCAACAAGGTTCGAGTCCAGCTACCTGCTCTGTTCTGCCTGACGCTTCCCATGTAACAAGATGGCCTGGTTGCTCACTCAGACGTCCTGCCTGAGTGTGTCTGGCTCATCTTAAGCAAAGAGCTGCACACTCAGATTCTATGGCCTGGAAATGTGCAGGACTGGCAGAGGCCCAGCAGGGAAGACACACTAGGAGGGACCAGGCTAGAAGAGGTAGGGTGAGTCAAGGTTGCAGACGGACAGTGACTCCCTAGATACAAGCTACCAGCATCATGTGGCTAGGCGAGGGAACAGTAATGAATATTCAAGTCAACATTCAGAAATTCACATAAATCATTGTGGGGTTTCCCCCATCCTGTGTGTCTAATAACCCGCGTCTGACTAGGCCATCCCTAGAGGCAAAGGCTTATCCTTTTCTTGCATAATCCCTTTCCCTACCTCCCCTTAGCCCCAGGGCTTCAACTTGGCTGTGTCTCTGATATGAAAGATACACACAAATGCACACCCGCAGACAAGCAAGTGCCTCTGTGTTTGCAGATCCCCAGCTGCCCCCACCAGAAGAGAAATTTCTAAGCCTGGTCCCTCCAGAGCCCTAGGTAGCCTAGCCATTTGCTATAATGAAGATGCTTCTCTATCCAGGCTAAAGCTCCTACAGAGCCCGACTGTCATCGTCCTGCCCCTAGCATGATTAAAAAACAAAGCAAAACAAATCAAAACAAAACAAAAAAAAACAGCCAAAACCCACTTACTTTTAAGCAGGACAAACTTGGAGTGAAATGAAATAAAAACAAAACACTGATGTCAGCAAGCCAGCAACACACACATTGGTCCCAGGGCTGGTTGGTTGCTCAGATTTCTGAATCAAGACCCAGGTTGCTCTCTTCCCCTCATTTTACCTGGAGAGAGCAAGCTCCCAAACAGTGGGGCAGAATGCATGACTCTTTAGCCCCTCCCTTACCCCTGGGCCCCTCACACACACTGACCACACTTGTGCATGCACTGAGCCCTTTTGTTACAGACGTGGTGGGGAACCAAGCATTCACTGTCCTCATTATTCAGCCCTTTGTTTCCTGATTCCCAACTCACCCCCCACCCCTACCCAGGGCCAGAGCCTGGCTCACTCTCCACTGGGACATGCATATCTGACTGGCTCTTTTGACTTCCTGCAGGCCAGAGGCACGCCATGCAAGGCAAGGAATGGGGTGGAGATGAGACCTGTTTCCAAGAAGAGACAAGCAGGAAGCTGGGATGAGGATGAGATGCCCATGCTTGCGGGGGGATGGCAAGGCCAGATCCCCTCTCACCTGTACTGGTCATAAAGGTGATGACGGTACTGCTGATGCCCTCGTTGTCCCGGGAATACACCCGCAATGTGTACGTCATCCCGGGATAGAGGTCTGTCAGCTGTATAGGCTGGGCCTGGGCCTTAACAGGGATAGTTTTTTTCGTATGGTTGCCTGGGGAACAGAAACCTAGGTCAGCTTACAACCAGGCACCGGGAGCTGGAGAGAGTGTTTAGGTCCCTGTTCATCTGTCAAAAGCAGAGGGGTGGGGAAAGAGGGCTAAGGCTCCCTGGGTCCAGTCCACCACACAGAACAGGCAGCTCCCTGACGCCCAGCATGCAACTCTAACTCTTACATGACGTCTCCCCCTGAAGTCTTGCTTCCTCACTACAGACTTAGCACTAAGCACATCAAGATTGGCTGCCTCAGCCTTGAAGCATGTCAACTGCCGTGAAAGTGATTGACTTTCTGCACCAGAGCCTCTGGGAGAGCCAGCGTGCTGGTTAGTATGTCACATGGTTAGTATCTCACATGGAGGTGAGACAGGATCCTTGGCTTTCACTTCACTCTTGGCCTCGTTTTGAACTATTTGCCACATTGCAAATTCACATTGCAAAGTATCTGTGTCTCTGGGTTGTGGGAGGGAATGATGGTGGCAGGAAGCTTAAAACAGCCAGACCTAAATAGGGACTCCAGACCCTGAGGATCTGCAGCCCTCCTCTCAGAACCTAGCTCCAGGTTTTCATTTCCTAAGAGTTCTTGGGGGAAGGGAGTAATCCAGCTGTGTTTTCTGTCTGCCTTGTTGATTTCACTGCTTCTAGCACATGTTAGAGAGGTGTGGGCTTTGCCCTGCAGAACCAGGGGCCCTTGTCCAGAGAAGGCAGATCTTTGGAACACATTCTGCAGTTCATTTAGGTTTTTTGTTTGTTTGTTTTGTTTTTGAAATCCCAAGCTCTGATAGAGCACATGGCTGACCTTGATAGAGCACTGGCTGTCTGGTCTGTGTCTGTGACTGCTGCCTTCCACTATTCTGTGGACAGGGAGCAGCTGCAGCACAGGTCTGAGTCCTGGACCTCGCAACAGAAGCATCAGAACACCCAGAGTCTTGGCCAGGAGATCAACAAGGAAACAAGACCTGGCTCACTTTCGGATACTGGAAATCCTTATTCTGGGCAAGAGCGGGGACCCAGGTCACAGTCCACAGATCCTACACCACACATGCAACTCAAGGCCTTTGCTAATGGATTTGGAAGTCCCTTCCTGTTCAAGCCTGCTCCTTCCACTTCTGCTAGCTCTGGCAGGGATCGATTTCATAAGACAACAAGGAAGCCAGGCTAAAAGGCTTCTAAGCCTGGGGGGAGTTCAACAGGATCTCCTTAATGGGTATCTACCACTACCCACCACCGCGGCACCGCGGCCGCCACCCCCACCCCACATAGCAATGCTTACTGTCGATGTACTCAACCACAAAGTCAGTTCCAGGCCTGAAATTGTGTTTCCAGGTGATGTTGGCCCATTTACTGTTGGGGAGCACCGTGACGTTCCAAATGGACTGCTCACCGGGGGCTGGTGGACGGGTTAGAAGAGGAGTTAGTGGTGAGGAGAGAGGAAGTACAGGAGACTCAGAGATGCACATTTTACATGTGTAAACTCTCACACCCAGAGTCTGCTGGGGAAGGGAGGAGTCAGGAACAGCTGTGCAGGGGGCTCAACACAGCTACAGGCTGCAGTCTTGACAGCCAGGCCAAAGGTACCCAGGGATGCACAGGACCTGTCTGTATGTGAAGGGGATTGAGAAGTTGTCTCTCCTCACAAGAAGGGGTTAGGAACAAGAGTGGGCTTTCAGTCATTACCCCTTGGGGCTCTAATCTGGGATTTATTGCCTTTTTGGGTCCCTTGTCATAGATTTAAACAGGGTAAGGAAAGGGGCAAAGAAACAGGCCCTGTGTGGTCAGGATGTTGGCAGAGGGGGAGAGAGTAGGCTTTCCTCCTTCAACTAAAAGGAGAGGGGTTGTTGCTTTTGAAAATCAAGCAGGAGTGCCTTGGGAGTATGGCTCAGTACTGGGGTGCTTCCTGGGCATGTGGGTTCCATCCTTAGCACCACCAAAAGAAAACCATGTAAGAGCGAGATGCTAAGGACGAGACTAAATACAGGAAAACTCTCCTGGCTTTCTGAAGCTTTGAGAATACTAATCAGGTAACTTTGATCTGAGGCCCTCTGGTTAATGAGAACCTGGATGACCTGGACTGTGGTCTAGAACCTCAGGGTCCCTGGTACAGTCAGAGCTGATGTCCCCAACACAGGCTAGACAGGACCAAAAGATGGTGAGCTTCCCTTGGCATCCAACCCTTAGTGTTTCCTGTATTAGAAGAGCCCTGCTTGTTGGCTTCTCGGTCACAGAGCCATTGAGGCTTGATCTCTACATAACAAAGAGGACACTAATTATCAAGCACCTGGGGGCTGGAAGCTACTTTATCAAAGCCACAATGCTGTCTGAAACCATAGCCCATATACAGGAGAATGGCAGCAGCCTTCAAATGCCAGAGTCCCAGAAGTCTGATTACCACATTTCCCAGCAAAGATTTAGCAGCAAAAGACTTGCAAGGATGCTTGTAGTTCAAGGGCTTGACAAACATGGCTCGTGTATATTTAATTAGAATGCAAGGGGGCACTGTCACCAGCTCACTCGTCAGACACAAATGAATAGAGTATGTTGGCGATGCATTTATTCATTATCTAGTCGACTCGTGATTGAGTCTGCAGGGCTGGGGAAGTGATAAAAGATTTCCTGATTTTCACTTCAAAGAAGTGTTTTTTGTTTTTTTTTCCTACTGCAACCCTGTCAGGTGTTGTTTGCCCCAGGTGAGCACAATGTTTGTCAAATGAGGAGTTGAGAAAAAGGCTCCACTGATGGCAGCAGAAGGCCTGCTGCCTGGGAGGGAAGGAGGCTTTTTTCTCCTGCAAGGGCCATTTTGATCCCATTGGCTGTTTTAGGAGTTCCCCCTCCCTGGAAGTTCAAGGATCTTGTAGTAGTAATGAAGCTGACTAGCCCTGGTGTGGGGGTCTTTCTTGCTCCTAACCTCAGGGCTCTGTATGACACCTAGAGAATTTGCATCGAAACAGCTCGACCTCCCAAAGTAATATTGAGCCAGATTCAAGGCTCTCCAAGGGAGTGGTGATGATCAGGGTGCTTTTAGGAAAGGCCAAGCAGGGGCTGGAGAGAGGGCAGTGAGTCAATGCTCATTGTTCAAGCCTGTCAGACTGAGTCGGATCTCCAAAACCCAAACAAAAGCTAAAAACAGAAACACAAGTGTCTGTTATTTCAGACCAGGAGAGGGGAGGCTGAGAGAAAACCACGTGACACTTGCAGGCCACTGTGTGGAGCAGCAAATGACCAGAGGTCCCGTCCCAAATCCAGAGAGCTGGAAAGCCAGCACCAACACTCATTCTCTCATATTCATGTATGGACCTGCATTCACACACACTAACATGCACACAGTAACATGCGCGCACACACACACACAAACACACATCACACACACAAAGAAAAACCCAAGCAATGGGAGACCAGATGATTTTGAGGGTCAAGATGGTGCCTGTTAAAGAACAGGGGTGTTCGGAGGGAGGGACCAAGGTGAGCTGTGAGCACTCTTGAAGTCAAAAGGAGGCCATGTTTAGCATGCATTGCTCTGTGGATTCCCAGCACCTAAATCTAAAGATGACACAAAGGATGCCCTGAAAAAGGACAAGTTATGAAACATTGCATGTTAAGATATAAGACGAGATGAAGATGAATCTCATTTAAAAGATTCCTGGGAAGCTGAGACACTTCACAGCTGTCCCCAAGCTTTCTACACCATCAGGGCTGTGGCCAGGCCCTCTGCAGCTTCAGGCATAGTTGACACTAGGGCTGTGAGTCATGGGGCCAGTGCTGCCTGGTTTAGAGTGATGTTTCTAGGTCAGGAATTGCCAGTGAGCAAGATTCATTGTTTCTGAATTCTTGGCTCACTTCTGTGAATTCAAAGCACCCTAAGGATTCAAAGGCCTGCTCTGATGAAAAAGATGCCTCCTTATGACCCAGAGGACAGCAATCCCCAAGTCGCTGATGGCATCTGATTGTGTGGAAGGCCTCTCCTGGGTTGGCTTTCCCCCTAAATGTCATGTTTACATTCTAGCACTGTGCCTCTAAAGTACGGCAGCATTTCCAAGTGTGGAGCAATGTGTCAGCTGTGAATCACCTGCCTCTGCCTATGGTTCACTTAACACCAGTAACTGAACTAGAACAAACACTAACAGGAGCCACAAGCCTCCATCTACACCCAGAGGCTGGTAAGTGGGAGGATGGGAGGCAGTGAGGCTGGGGAGGTAGAGGGACTTGCCCAAGAAGCAAAAGCAGTGAATGAAGGCCAGGGATCTATGACTCTCTAGGAATGGGAGCCTTCTGGGTGCTTCCTGGCAGTCTTTCCATTGGCTTCCACTGCTATTTTTACAGCTGCCCCCTGGGTCCAGGAAGTTAGAGACCCTCTGCTCTATGGTAATAAAGGGCCGGTGCTTGGTATTCAGAATTGATTGAATTCTCTAAGTCCAGGGACCCTAAAGGCCATCCCCAGAACTGCAGTTTTTCCTCCAGATGAGCATTTTAGGGGTGCATGGGGGAACAAACAGAGCATTGTCAGGCATTATGAACTGGTAACACTACTTCCTGCATGCTCTAACTTTTAAAAAGAAATACCCACAAGAATTCCTTGGGGACAGAGGTGCAAGGAATGGGCAGGAGTTCCAGAGGCAAAGCTGTATGGCATGGCAGCCACTCCCTGCTCCTCCTTCTAGCCTCTGTCCCTAGAGGTGGACAGACATGGTGTAGCCAGCAGCTTTCTTGGCCAGGCACACAACCATTAGAACCTTCCCTTCTCACCACGTTTCTTCCCGAGCACCCATCCCTGGCCGACTAGTTGGCATATGCTTGGGGCTCTCTCAGAGAAGCCTGGTGCTCTGTTGAATGGCAGGATCTGACTAGCATAAGGAGTGCTGAATGGCGGATGATCATCCATGTGTGCTCAGGGTGGGGATTTCGGGCCTTAGTGTACAAAGTAAACCATGGTGGGGCTAGTCAAACACCACCCCAGAGCCCACCACTCAGCTGAAGAAGTCTGGGGTTGTCTGGGGAAGCTATGAGGTGGGCTCAGAGGGGCCAGGAGCATGGGCAATGCACAATACCGGTTTCGTGAATCTTAGTCCCAATGGTGGTAGTGGGAGGACTCTCCGTGGTGGTGGTGGTGGTGGTGGTGGTGGTGGTGGTGGTGGTGGCAGTGGTGGTTGTAGTAGTTGTGGCGACGG